TGTGGATTAACCAGCAGATTTGCCCCCGTGTGATAACGTCCTAACTCTCAAACCACTACTACAATACATTCAATGGATGTTGAGAACGTTCGTCTAACTCACAATTTGGTCTGACATCCTATTGGACCATGGTGCTAGCGTAAATATCACTGCACACATGGTTGTGCTTCCTCAGAGGTTACATATGTACAGTTCCTAGCACAAGTAATAACTCTGCAGGCACACATCTAGCTCAATCTCTTACTTTTGGTCTGCTGGGTGGGGAAGCTAACTGAAGACTGTTAAGTGGGTGAGTGCAAGGTTGTAGCGCACATGGCATAAGAGGTTGCACATGCTGTGGAGACCAGCGTAACTGCAGTCACATATATTTACCCTCCCTTTGCAGAGAAGCATGGGGCTCAAAAGGGAACATTGCCCCCATCACCACACCAAGCTTCCAGATTTCTTGCTTTAATATTATTTTATTGCACATTTTTGAAGCTCAAACAGACTTTCCCCCCTGGAATGGGGAGTGATCTTCTGGCCACTTCTGGTTTTGAAGAAAGGGGAAGGTATGGTACACAGAAAAGGAGGGGTGGTGAGGGAGGAAAATTATGAGCCCCTGATGCAGGTGATTCATTACCTGTTGTCATCCTCTGGTTTGGACATCAGCTCCAATTAGCTCAAGCCAAAATGGCTGGTGGCAAAGAATCCAGATAATTTCTCTGAAGATGCTAGCCATAGATGCTGGTGAAACATTAGAAAGAAACTCTTCTAGAATATGGTCACACAGCCTGAAAAACCCACAAAAAAATTATGGATGCTGGCCATACGACTTCATAGTCCAGATAATGTTCAAGGATTCTGGGAGTGGTAGTCCAAAACATCTGGAGGATCAATGATTGACAAACTGCCTTAGAGTAACCTGAAACATACACATGCACCAGTGATTCATTCAGACTCTCATTTCCAGTATGACAATGATTTAATACCCTACCCTTCTCCCAATGGCCTAAATACCCCAGAGGCACCAGATCTTGTCTGATCCAGCCCGGGTTAAGTACCAGGTACTGGAGTCTATATTTCTGAAAAAGGAACTGGGGAAAAAACACCTCTGACTATTCCTTGTCTAAGAAAACCCTATGAAATTCTTGGGGATCACTATAATGTGACAAGCAACTTGAAGCCGCATGTGTGTATACACACATCACATACACACCTTTCTACTGGTCCAGGACCTAAGACAATTTACACTATGAACAAGATCTGTCTAAAACTCAATTAGTTATGACATTAAAAAGAATTTAAAACAACTACGGTAAGTATATGAAAATTAGATCCCCAATTAAATGAATAGTATTTGGGATGTAGTGGCTCAAGTGGTTAAGACACCAGTTCTGAAGATTGGAAGATCAGCAGGTTGGCAGTTCGAGGCCCAGGTGCTGCATGATGGGAGTGAGCTCCCGTCACTAATCCCATCTTATGCCAACCTAGCAGTTCGAAAGCATGCCAATGCAAGTAGATAAATAGGTACCATTTTGGTGGGAAGGTAAAGTGTTCTGTGCAGTCATGCTGGCCACATGATCACAGAGCAGTCTCTGACAATGCTGGCTCTTCGGCTTAGGAACCGAGATGAGCACTGCTCCCTACAGTCGGATATGACTTGACAACCTTGTCAACGGGGAATACCTTTATTTGGTATCCAAGCTTTAAAAAGAGGGGGGAGTACCACATGCTCACACAGAGTGGCATCCCTGCCCGGGGCGTCACCCATTGTGGGGAAGCAGGGCTTCTGGGGGTGGGGCCAAAAGGGGACTCCTCCCACCTTGTTGCTGCACTGCATAGAATGACGCAGTGGCAGCAAGGTGGGGAATGCACTCAGCCCTCGCCCTTTCTGGCCTTCTGGGTCCCACGTGGCCACAGTCACGCAGGACCCAGAATGCAGCCGGCCACTCTCCTCGGGTTGTATATCTAGAGATGTGAAGGCCTGAAAAAAAATTCAGAAAAAAACCTCTTTCCCCCCCTGAATCATG